CAAGCAAGAAAGCGCACCACAACAAGTGGATTTACAAGATCAAAGAAGAGCACGATGGGAGCAAACGTTACAAAGCGAGATTGGTTGTCAAAGGTTTTTAGCAAAAAGAAGGTATTGACTACAATGAAATTTTCTCTCCAGTCGTAAAATTGTCTACAATCAGACTGGTGTTGAAAATTGTAGCTGCAGAGAATCTACATCTTGAGCAATTAGATGTAAAGACAACTTTCCTTCATGGTGATTTGGAGGAAGAAATCTATATGAGGAAGCCAGAAGGCTTCATAGAGGCAGGCAAGAAAAACCTGATATGCAGGTTGAAGAAGAGCTTGTATGGTTTAAAACAAGCTCCTAGACAGTGGTACAAGAAGTTCGATAGCTTCATGAGTAGCAGTGATTTTACCAGATGCCAAACAGATCATTGTTGATACATCAAGAAGTTCGACAACAACTTCATTATTTTATTGTTGTATGTTGATGACATTCTTGTTGCAGGTTTAGACATGCAAGAGATTATAAACTTGAAGCAAAGATTGTCGAAGCAGTTTGCAATGAAAGATCTGGGCGCTGCAAAGTAGATTCTTGGGATGAGGATTAAGAGAGACACAAAGTCGGGGACTTTGATGTTATCACAGGCTGAGTACATCAACAAAGTACTCTCCAGGTTCAACATGAAAAATGCTAAACCAGTAAGTACACCATTAGGTGTTCATTTTAGACTCTCCAAAGAACAGTCACCAAAGACGGAGGAAGAACGTGCACACATGGTGAAGGTGACGTATGCCTCAGCAATTGGAAGTCTAATGTATGCCATGGTTTGTACTAGACCAGATATTGCTCATGCAGTGAGAGCTGTTAGCAGGTACATGAATAATTCGGGCAAAGTACACTAGGAAGCAGTCAAATGGATCCTCAGATATCTGCGGGATACTACAAACAAAGTACTTTGTTTCAAAGGTGGAGATACGATATTGACAGGCTATGTAGATGCTGACATAGCCAAAAATGTTGACATCGGAGGGAGCACTACAGGGTATGTCTATACTCTAGGAGGTACTGCAGTGAGTTGGGTTTCTCAACTACTGAAGATAGTTGCTCTCTCCACAACTGAAGCAGAATATGTCACTGTTACGGAAGCTAGCAAGGAGATGGTCTAGCTCCAAAGTTTCTTGGAAGAGTTAGGTAAGAAACAAGAAAACAATGTCTTGTATTGCGACAGTCAAAGTGCTATCCATCTAGCGAAGAATCCGTCTTTTCATTCCAAGATGAAGCACATACAATTGCGATATCATTTTATCCGGTCTCTTCTGGAAGATGGGATTTTGAAACTCGAAAATATTAGTGGAGCTCAAAATTCGGCATACATGTTGACAAAGACGATGACCACGGAAAAACTGAAGTTGTGTTAAACTTCAATTGGCATGCTAAAGTAACAAGACTAGAAAAGCTGCTGCATTGATCGAGGTGTGAAGACAGATTAAAATCAGTCTTCAAGTGGGAGATTGTTGAAAGTAAAAGCCAGAAAGTAGGGACATTGTTTTTCAACAAAGGCAACAGAACGAATTTTCAACAAAGGGGGGCAGGGGCTGAAGTTTTTCAATAATTGTAAAGTCAACAATTGTGGGAGGGGGGCACCACCTATGCACGTTTTCAACAAAAATTTGGTGTCCCAATTTTTTAATTAAAATGTAATAGGGTTAATTACAAGATTAGCCCTTAAGCTTCAACTATAAATACCCTAGCCCATTTAGCTTCAAAATCATCCCAAAATCATGTTCTTTCTCCCAATACTAGAGAGCTTTCTTGTGAGTAGTGAGTGTTTTATAAACACCTGTAAATTTTCTCTCTTAGTAAATAATCTGCAACAGTCCGGAGATGTAAGCAAAATTGGCTAAACTCCATTATCAATTTCGGGTATTATTTTTCCGCTTTTATTTCGCATTCTCACTAATATGGTTATAGGAAAATTACTCGTACTCTGTTTATTTCCCAACAGTTTCTCTCAACCTCTCTTTTTTGGCTTCACCTAGTCCCATATGGTTGCTGATTTGATTGAATAAAAATGCTACATATTTGAGTAATTAACCAAACCAAGCAGGGGAAAAGACAAATAGAAGTAGGCCTCGATTAGGGATGGATTGAAGAGTTGCTGAGATGTTATCTTGTTTGTTTAAAATTTTCATATAGTATAGATTTTTTTTTGTATTTTCTATAATTTCACATCCTAGATTTCTAATATATATAACCTTTTAAATTAATATCTATAACATAAAATTCTACGTCCGTCCAAAATTTCAACAAATGAAAAATTAAAGAATGCTTCCGATAAAAGAGTACGTTTGATTTTTAGATATAAGATTATTTTTAAAAGAAAAATTATTAAAATATATTATTACATGACTCGCCAATAATATGTTGGTTTAGAGACGAGACATTAGATCTCTTAAATAAAATTAAAATTTCGAATCCTGACATTTACATATAAAACAAACTAAGCTGGGAGAGTTATCTTCACCTTTGTAATATTCGATTTACAATTAATCAATTATGTTAAATTGGATACAAGTGATTATAAAAAAAGGGTTAACTACATGGCTGATCACTTTCTTTTATATTTTGTCAACTTTTCTTCACTGATTTCGAAAAATATAATATATGATCACTTTCGTTTTTATTTAATTAAGATATTGTCACCGAATGTTAATTGCATTTAAACATTTAACGGATTGCTAACATTGCTTGTTAATAAGGGTTTAATTTTATTTTAACCCCTGAACTTTAAATAAAATTCTAATTTTGGACCTTTATGTAAACCCAAAATAATTTAAGTAGAAAGTTTTAATTTACTCATTTTTCTTAATATGTTTTCTTCTTCCCAAGTTTTAGCTTCAGCAATCCCCCCCGGGTTGAATGATGTCGTTCATTGGAAGCACCGTCGGATAATAACAAAATGCTAGCATCTGGATTTCTCCCAACTTTTAGCTTCAGCAATCCCCCCCTCCCGGGTTGAATGATGTCGTTCATTGGAAGCACCGTCGGATAATAACAAAATGCTAGCATCTGGATTTCTCTCCCTTCTATCCTCTAGCACTTTGGTTGCTTTCTTCAACGCATCGCCAAAGCTAGTTCCTTACTGCAAGTGAGGCGGTCAATAATACGCCGAGCAGTTTTTTGACCCTGAGTCTTCATTCTCCATAGAGGCAATAACCGTTTTGGAGTAGCCCAAAAAGCGACGATTGAAAGCCTATCACCCGAGCCGAGCGAGGAAATGACTAAACGAATCGTGTGTTTCAACATCCGGAGTTTATCATCAGTCATGCTTCCGCTCACATCAAGAACCGTAACCGAATCGATTGGTGCCCGATGCGAAGGGTCCAAATGTGAATTCGAATTGCTACTATTCCTCGAAGAAGCTAATATTTTTGCAGGGGAGGTGGGGCCTTGATTTTTAAAGCGAGCACCGGCTGTGCGGAAAGCAATGTTGAAGCTAACATATTAAGAAAAATGGGTAAATTAAAACTCTTTCCTTATACTATTTTGAGTTTACAAAAAGGCCCAAAATTAGAATTTTATTTAAAGTTTAGGGGTTAAAATAAAATTAAACCCTTTTATTAACGTACCGTTTCAGCAATCCATTAAATGTCTAACCGTAGTTAACCTTCAGTGATCATATCTTAATTAAATAAAAGCGAAAGTGATCGTATATTATATATTTTGAAATCAGTGAGAAAAAATGAATAAAACATAAACAAACGTGATCACCTATGTAGTTAACCCTAAAAAAATTGACAAGGTCATCAACTAATGTCGATTTACAAGCAACATGCCTTTCCTTAGCAGCAACAAATTTAAGATATTTTAACAAATTATTTATATATTATATACAATAATAATATCATTACCTACCAAAAGAATGACATATAACTTTATTTAATAATATCATTATTCATATATGTTCATATTATATGAATTTTAACATATAAATGTACTTATATTATATTATTATATCAGTTTTAAATTATGAAATTTATGTTCAAAGACTAAAAGATCACCACTGTTTTTTTGTTTAAATATATTTCAGAATTTATAAATAAATAATAATTGAAATATCAGATTTGCAAGTGAAGCAGACAGGAAATAGAAGGAGAAAATAAAAAGAGGCTTCATAATTCCAATCAAAAGATAATATAAAAATGCTGAAATACACATTATTTTAATTTTATTTTATTTTTAAATACAATAAATCTAAACTATTATCATCTCATTTTACTTATAAATAAAAGATAATATACACTTAAACATGTTTAAATTCATGTTATACTTGACGGCGTATACATATCATACAGACGCATCTATTTAAACTGGGAACTTTCAAGGAGAAAAACACTCCTTTGTACCATTGAAATCGTTAAATGAATTCAAATATTTTTAGTTACGAAAAATAATATATATGTATCATCTGAATATTTTTTAATTTTAATTACGAAAAATAGTATATTTATATTATCGATTTAAAAAAGATAATAATTTTCTTTTTCTTTCATCATTTTCTTGTAATCTTATTTTTTAGGTGCGAAATCTGAATATGTTTTTGAAATGGTTGGATAATAATAATTTAATGCAAAAAATGTCATTTTATCATTGCATTAATTTGTAATTTTATGATTTTTAAAAGGTTTAAATTGAAGTTTCACTATTTTTGGAGGGCCAAAATACAATTCCACCATTACATGATCTTAAAACTTTACAAATTTGAAGGACTTAAACCACAATCTTCCCTGTTTGAGGAGCACCTTTCGTTTTCCTTACCTAAGAATCAATTATTTGATTATTTTGATCAAATTCTGGTTTTGATCCCTCTACCATGCTCCAAATTAACTTGACATAATTTGACCCTTTTACTTTCATAAGGTAATTATTAGTTAGTGCAAATAATTAACACTATTAAGTATTAACTAATATAAAATAATAATATATATTTTTCCTTAAAAACGGTCTTTCGGATAATAATAATAATAATAATAATAAATCATCTACAAATTGAAGAAATCAAGCAATATCAAGCCACACGAGAACATTAATTTTACAAAGGTGTTTGTCCATTGATGATTCCTATATTACTCAACTGTGGAACTGTTTCCGGTCGTATTCGGTTCCCGTTCACCCCTTGAACCGAACGACAATACAAGAGATATCATCCTTGCTGTCTCTGTTCAACGCTTCCACCGCTAACTGTTTCGCCGCTCGCTGCGGATCCTTGGTCTTTTTCGCTATATCGACTGCTTCTTGGTTCGACATGACCTGGTTTTGATTGAGTAGAGCATGAAAAACAGATAAAAAGAAACATAGAACGGTTGTTGGCTTTCAGAGAGATGGATCACCTTCCAGAGTCCATCACTTGCAAGGATGAGAAGGTCGGTATTCACGTCGATATCGGCATTCTGTACATCCGGATCGGATCTGAGGTGTGATTTAAGGTTCTTGTCTCCGAAAGCACGGGAAACAGCGAGTTGGCCGTTCACTCTTGCTACATCTCCTGGGATCAATTATCATGAATGATGTAATCAACAATAGCACCAGTAACTCATGCATACACATCGAATGCCATACAATATGTAAGCCTCCCCGAAATAAACTTATTTACTTCGGCTCAGAAAGAGTAGTCGTCGAATAACCTGGCAAGTTCGAGACGAATCCACCTCGGTTCTCGATGCTTCCCCGCTCCATGTTGGGCTCGTGATCGATACTCATCTGAATTGCCTGCCCTTTCTTTGAGAGAACGGCACGCGAATCCCCGACATTTGCTACCCATAGTTTCCCCCCATCAACCAAAATTGCAGTGACAGCAGTCGATCCCCCTCGTCCCAAGTCTGTACTGTGTGAAAGAATTGCTTCGTCCGTCTTCTCATAAGCTTTCAAGATCGACCTGCTGGGATCAGTCCAAAACTCTTCCTGCAATTCATATAACAAAAGGTAAGGAGCGTATTTGAACAACCAATGCATGTAGCCAAACAGTTTTGGGCCGGAATAATCCGAAATTCAGAAACCGATGAGAATGATTCTTCGTGCCTGCAGTAACCAAATGCTCCTAAGCGCTTACGGATTATTCATATGATCAAGAACTCACATCCTTTAAGATATTGGGAAGCAAATGCTTTTGCAGATACGCAGGTACACTATTTCCCAAATGGCCGTCAAATATAGCAAAAAGTCCGAGTTCATGACCCCGATGTTGATCGAACTTTGCGACATGATAATCCTCCATCGGATGATTCGCTTTTCCTTTCATTAAGGCGAAGCCGTACTTGACAGGGCGGTAACAGCTTCTACCCTTCCCGGAGCTACATGAAGAACGTCCTCCAACAAACTAAAGGATGTTTCGGAAAAAAAGGAATCAGAATCGAAACTCGAGAAAGATTATAAACATAATTTACCATAAAGACCATATAAGCTACCACTACACAAGATCATCACTAACAAAATTTAACTAAATCACCAACCAAAGAACCCAGACATGCATGAACATAGTGTGTAACAACGGGGAGATTTCTTTTATACGACACCGAAATCAGAGATAATTACACTTAAACGCATTGGAACCTTAAAACCGAGCTAAAACTCGATCAACAACTACGAGATGGAAATAAATTTTACATAATCTAAGAGTAGAGAGATATGCTGACCTGAGAATACACAGAGTTGAAGCAACATAGATTATCCATATAATTCAATCCCCAAATTTGCTAACACTCAACATCTAAAAGGAAACATTGTCCTGCATAATCAAATTGATAAAAAACAACCTTATAAAACCCAGAAAACTTCTGCAAACACATATACACATACTCAAACAAAAATCATGAAAAGGGTATATAAGAATTCACCTTACCGATCCACCAAAAACACCCACTTCCCCAGGAATTTAAAAAAAAACACACACCCAGAGTCGACCGAGACTTGAATTGCCCAATTCTTGTTTAAAAAAGAGAAAGCCTATTGTACAGTAGCTGTTATACAAGATGAAACCCCAAAGGAAGAAGAGTTTTTTGAGGGGCAAAACGAGGGAGAAAGGAAAGAGGGTGCCCTTATTGACTTTTAGCTTTGGAATTTTCTTCGTTGATTACTGAGTGTAGGAAGAAAAGTTGTTGAGGTTATTTTGTCTTTGGCTCCCATGGTAGACCAGTGGGTAAAGGGACTTGAGTCCCCACACGGGGTGTGCATTTTATGACAAATTTCTTTTGAGACCGCAAAGTCCTACCGTATTACAATGTGTGTTTTTATGATAGGGCAGTAAATGAGACGAGACAGATTGTGAGTTATTTGAGATTGATATAATTAAGGTTTGATAAATATTTAGATCGAATGTATTTGACTCGAGTTCTTAACGAGCAGAAACGAATTATAATAAGATTTATTTTTTTAAAATAAATTATTAATAATATTAACATTTATGTATTGATTTTTTTAAAATATAATAAGATTTTTATGTATTTAAGTTCGAGTTTGAGTTTGAGACTTCAATTGAGTTAAGTTTAAGAATTTTTTTCTTCATTTCAAGCCTTTTCAAGCTGCTCACGAGCTTCAGTTCAGGATTTCGAGTTCGAGTTGAGCTTGAAAATTTTAAACTCGCGAGTTTTCGAGTCGAGTCAAGTTTCATTTCACAGTTTTCGAGTCGAGTTGAGCTCAGCACTACTCGAACTCGACTCGGCTCGGCTCGTTTACACCCCTAATTGGGGGAGAGCCTAGGGTAAGTCTCGGAGATTGACGGACAATGTGGAAATAAAATTTGTAATTGGAATTTAAAATTTTATTATATTTTTATAGAATATGTTAATTTTATTAAAAATATAAATATCTAAATTACAATAAAATTTTACGGCCACAATTGTAAACTAAATATATAATAATAATATTTTTCTAAACGCAAGAAAATTAGTCACTTAAGATCATATAAGGATAATACAAGGAAAATGTTAAAAAATCTAAATAAATTCGAACAAGAGATAAATACGAATAGATTTGACTGCATCGACAAACGAACTACAAAAGGGAATAAAGTTATTAAAATACCACCGACATACTGCAAATCAAAATTAAGCGATGTGAAAGTACTATCCACGAACACAAATCGCATATCCAAATTCAATTCGAGGGTCTAAAGCAGGGAAGATTATCATGATAACAAATAAGTATCACCTTGATCAGTCGTGACAATGTCAAATCTAACCCTTAAAAAATAAACGAAAACAACGGCCAAACAACCGAAAACGTGTCATAAAACCAGAATAATACGTGCAAAAATAACATAATTGTTAAGAATAAAAAAACAAAGATACACTATAATAAAACAAAAAAAAATAATCAAAACCGGCGGTCGACAATTATTACTAAGACTAGTACCACCGTTAATCAGAAAGATGAAGAAGAAAAGAGACTAATGACGGCTATGAAAAAATGGTATTATTTTTTCATTATAGGGTATTATTTTTTTAAGTCCACTGACTATTAAAAGATATAAAATGGTATCTCAACTATATGATATTATTTTGTTGAGTTCTTTGACTATTAAAATAGTTCTCCGACTATTCATATTTTTCAAACTCATCATTTCTTTAAAAAGTTGATAGTTGTCTAAGATGAACATTAATCTATTGACTGTAACATGATAAAATTTGATCAATGAATCGTTTTAACTATATTTTATGAATATAATCTATATTTACATTATATGTGGAGTTAATACTTGGAACATTCTGTTAACTAGTCAATGCTTGAAAACAACGACGATGCCATTAGATATAATTAAAATATAATTTTATCATATCTCACTTAGTAGATTAGCGTTTAGTTTAGACGAACATTACTTTTTTTAATAAAAATAAAGATTTTAGAATATATAAATATATAATCAAGAGATATTTTTTAAATTTTAATAATAAGAAGACTAGAAAAATAATATCTTATAATTGAAAGATCATTTTAATAATCAAGAGACTCGATAAAATAATATCTTATAATTGTAATATCATTTGTGTAATTTTTCCGAAAAAAATACTGCTTAACAAACAAACCCGGTGGCATAGTTGTAATTAATGTCGGTTCAAATTATATATAAATAATCCAGAATCCGATCACTCTCGAAACTTTTTATTTATTTTTCAAATAATTTGTAATTAATCATTTTTTTGTGGATTTAACATCAACATATAAACCCTAACTCTAAGGATACGTTTGGTTCACGGAATGTAAGATTACCAGTGGGAATAAAAGATTACTAGGGAATAGGATTACTGTGAATGTTACATTACTGTGTTTGGTTGGTTTGACAGGAATGTAAGATTACAGTGTTTGGTTGAAGGAATAAAAGATTATTGGAATGTATATTTTACCAAATTGTCCTTGTTCTATATTTGTTTTTTTAACAAGTGAAATTCTAAATATTTAAATAAAAATTATTTATATAAAAATTCTATTTGTTGATAATATATTACTTGAGTATTTAAATATATCATGTATGATTTTAATTTTAATTAATATTAAATTTTATATAATTTATGTAAAAATATATTAGAATTTTACATCAACATTTAACTAAATGTTTATATTGTGGAAATTCTTCATAGATATTCATAATAATAAAAAGGTGTAAATTATTTTTGTTATTTAAGATATTATATTTATTATATCTTCTATATACAATAATTTATTTATTTATCTTTTATATTTATACTTAATTCTGCATACTTTATCATTATTATTTATCTCATTAATTTATATTACAAAAACATAATTCAAATAAGTAAGAAAATATAACACTAAAAATCATATTGTTTATAATTTTATATTTCACCGTCATTCATCATTATCTTTGCTAATATTTTAATAAAATTATTAATACTCAGTCCAAATTTGATTTGTACTTAACTCTTGATTACGAAAAGCAAGCAACCCAATAATACTCAGTCCTAATCTGATTTGTACTTAACTCAGCCATAAAATAACTTGTTCATCTGTCTTTTTTATTTCAATTTTTGGGTTTTAAGTACAGTTTTTTGGATTTCCAATTTTATAACCACTAGATCAGCCGACTCTCAATTGAATTGGTACGATTGATTGAATTAAAGACCTTGAGACCTCGTTTGGATGTGCATAACAGAGAAGTGCAAGCTTTGTGGTGAGGACTTCATTGTGGGATCCTTATGAGGAGAAACTGTTTTAACGAAAGACTCAAACTCGTGTACTTGAGGTTAATTTTCCAACCGAACAAAAAGAATCGAATTTCATATCAAACAATTACAATTTTATTAGCATTATTTAGAAGTAATAAACAAGTTCAATGGATTCTACTATCAGTCAGTGTATTGTTTCTCTCGGATTAAACCACATCAACCCGGTCTAACAAAATAACAACCCGATGATTATGTTTAATAACAATGCAGCGTTTCATTTCTTCTTTGGATATTCCCTTGCCCCAAAGATGGTTGATCCAACTCTGACTTTGGTACTGTCCATTTCAATCTGCGGAAACAATGAGACAATCCATTAGACAATCGTTCTCTCGTAAGCTTTAAAAGAATTGAATGCTACTTCTATGGGGTTTGGTTAGGGAATATGATACAATAGGTACATGAGTATAAAGGTACAACCCTACAAGAGTTCTCGAAATATATGAGAAACTTCAAAAAAAAATTAAGTATACTCATATCTAACACACCCAAATTTGAGTAACATAGCATGGTTTTGTGCACGGTATGTGGCAGGAGAACAGACATTGCACAACAATATTTTGGTAATAAAGCATAGACAAACCAATTGCATACAAATCTAAAGTTTTCCTTATCTAGATGGTAATGGTAAAACAATCCTTACAGCTAGCTCAAAGTCGCCAGACATTCCCATTGACAGTTCACATTGTTCTTCTGGTATTCCAATAGCCTTGCAGACTTCACTTCGACAATTTGTTAATGTCTGGATATCAAATAAATATTGTTATAAAAATAAAGAATCGATTGAAAAGGACGGAAAAACCGAGATAAGAAGTTCAGTCACCTTGAAATTCTCCGGAGTTGATGTATAATCAGGCATCCCGATTGTCATCAATCCACAAAATTGAAGATTCAAGCAATTTAGACTAACATGTTTTGCAAGTTCCACACAACCTGAAGGCTCAACACCAGATTTTGCTGCAATAACATGATGCAGGAAAACACTATGAAAACGATCTCCAAGTGTTGATAAAAACAGCTTCTTTGTCAGCAAATATACTTGACCTAATCTAACTAGGTACTTAGCCCCAATGAACTAGGTTCCAATAGCCATGTTGATAGAGCATAGTACGAAACTAGAAGCTAAAGAAACAAGACCAGTTTTATCTAGCAAACTTAAAGACAAATACATGACAACACGCTTGAACGTGCAAAGCCTTGACACAACTCAACGAAAAACAATATATTTTCGTTGTAATAAAAACAAATTTACTTTCATTCCTCTCCACTGGTGTTCACCTGGGCTAAGACTTTCAAAGGCTTTCTTTCAAAGTTTCCAACCGCACGATTAAGATGATTTGTAATACGGCCCAAAATAAGGAAAATGCTCAGTTTAATGAGGAAAAAACACAAATACTTGGCCACATTATGAATGTTGTTCTTGACACTATCAATTGAAATCTTTGACATAATGATTAATGATATAAGAAAACAAAATCATATCAGTCATTCTCACTAAAACTAGATTCAAAATTAGGTATAAATTAATTAAAAAAGTTGTCTCTAATTCTATCTCCAATACATAAAGGAACATTTTATAGCAATTATACTAATGGAAATGAACAGAATTACCTTCTCATCATCTACAATTTCCACCATGGCGAGGTTCGGCATAGCAGCTGTGTAACAATGAATAATAAGTAAACACACAACAAACATTGCCCTCCAGCAAAACCAAATGAAGTAAAAGTTCAATTTCAGATACCCATTAAAAAATCTCAGCTTAAAAGCAGTAATAATAAACTATGATGTAAACACAGACATTTTAATCGAAAGTTCCTAAAAACACGTAGCTTTGCTTACCAATCGAAGGCTTCAATTTATTGCTCTGCAAATTCCCAATAAAATGCCACTCTATGTCATCCGGAAGCTACGATTGCAAGCACGGAAATGATTATTACTTCGGT